TGGGCTTGTTTTTGTTGTTGTGGGGGTGGAGAAGTCAGTGAGACACCTTGGGTCGAGTCCAAGCGAAGAAGCCATCGCTGGCCACGCACCCCGTGGAGTAGCGGTAAATCCCAGGTTGCGGCCGGGCGGGACGGGCCGCTGGCTCGCCCTGTGCCCCCTCACGTTGCTTCTCTCGCCCACAGAAATCCTACGAGCACTTGGCAAAAATACGAGTTGCGAGAGAAGTGCCGCCAGAGTGCAACTGCCCACCAGGTAACAGACACCGCTTGGAAATCTCCTCTCTGAGGCTTCTAACTCTAGGGGTTCTGGTATCCCATGTTTTTCAAATACACATAAGTCAGATCCAGGGGATGCCTCCTCAGTCAACGGCTTTACCTTGGCTGGAAAAGGCGTAAAGCCCAGAATCATCTGTTTCCACTGTGGCATTGGACTGGGACTAACGCTAGTTAAAAACCCCGGTTAGGCTGGGCGATGCCCAACTATAACGCTTATGAAGAAGTTAATGATCTACCCTAGCAAGAAGAAATATATTCTGTCTTTAAAGGGGGTAGTACTGAATCAAGGCATTGTGTGCTCAGCTTGGGAAGTAGAACAAAAGTTCCTGGCAAAAATACTGAGCAACTTATAACGTGGATTGAAATAGGTGGGGAATGAGTCCGTTGCAAGTTACCAGTAATATATACAAGAGCTTTTCAGTCTCATTTTTCTGTAGTCGTGGATGAAAGAGGTTCCACTAGGAAGGGGTTGCAGGTTTCATACTGAGGGTTCAAAACTGTGTGTGTTTATGCAACCAGTCATGTTGCTTGACTTTGGAAATGGGGCCTCCTAATACTGGGGTCGGCTGTTCGTGCACACGCACTGCAATGTTTCCTGTGTTTTTCATGCTGTTTTTTGTCAGTCGGATAACTGTCAATACTGTTTTAGCTTTACAAACTTCTGCTAATAGGTACCCAAGTTCTGATGGGATCTTAAAAGTGAAGAAAATAATGCCAGCGTTTCACAGGGTGGTGCAGGAATTCCAGCATCCTCTGTGTGCTGAAGCACGCTAGACACGCAGTATCCTGCCACTCCGTTTGAGAAAACATCTCCTTTACAAGTGGAATAGTGACTGCCAACGAGAATTAAGCTGATGATGTTTGCCAGTAGGATGTGTGATAGTTCTGAGCACGTAAGGACGGAGCTCTTCTAGTCTAGGGTTTAATTCCTGCCAAACTCATCGGTCTGAAAGGATTACTGAGTCTCAGTGTTACAACTGACTGCAATGGTCGTTTTGCTGATGATAGGACTGAGAGCAGAGTATTTACTGGCTGGTATAGGAGGCTAGCATGAAAAGCACAATATTCGTGACTAGGACTGTTTTAAAAGAGCGTACGGAGTTACTCAGCTCCCAGCTAGTTTTGGTAAGGAACGTTTCTTCCTTTAAGACTGACATGAGCATACAGCATTGATCTTATTTTTTTTCTGTTGCTTAACTGCAGTAAATGACAAGATTCAAGTTTAGTGCACTAAAAATGAGGGTTGCTCATCATGTTGTGTGCACAGATGTATTCTGGGAGCCTGAAACATTGTTGAATTTGATGCCAAGCTCTCTCCCTTTTCCTTCGCCTTGTTTAAATTCATCTGTTGGAATGTTTTCGCTTACTGTTTTCGTACTAAAGGTCAGTATCTACTGTTTCACAGTTGGTGTTACGCGCTGCTTTACTTCCCCACTACCACTAGAGCTCCACATTATACCAATTTTTACCAGACCTTTTTTCTTAAGAAGTGTGCTTTATCAAATAGATAATGAGCAACAGAAAATTCTTCACATGCATTGTAAAAACCCTCGCTAGATGAAAGCCAAAATAAAGTGATCTGGGGAACATTTTCAAGGGAGCAAGAGTCATAAGATCAGGAAAATTTACATGAATCATTATAAAGAAAAATAAAAAAATAAAATGCGGGAGAGGACTAGCTGGTACAGGGATTAGAAACGTGATATGGAGCTTTTCACCTCTGGGTAGCTATTTCAGTTTGGAAGCAAGTTTTGTAGTGACTGAAGGATGTTGCCATGCGATAGCCTCACTTTGGACAGCTTAAAATGAGGTGGTGCCCTCATGCTTGTTGCCAGTGGACAGGTGTCTACCTCAAAATGGCATCGGCGTCTTGGGAGCCGTGTTGGGGAGAACAGGGGCAGGTAAAACTGCACTGAGGTTTTGAAGATGAGGGGTTCAATGAAGGTGGGGCGATAAGAGTGGCAGGGGAGGGGGTGGGGGGCCCCCCCCCCCCCCCCGCCGAGTACTGCGCCTTCCTCACGGCGGGCGTTAGAGCAGGAGGGGGGAGAGAGAATAAATTCTTGTTTCTTCATTTGGTTCACTTTGTAAGAATTCCTTTTCGACTGGACAGGATGGGCTTCTTTTTTTCATCCTTAAGGCTGCTATTACAAATTTGGACAACAGTGTTCAAAAAGGCATTTGGTTTAATAGGAAAAGTATCGTGGAAACGCAGTGGTTTTTCTGTTGCCTGCTATTTGTGAAGCCAAAGAGTAAATTGCCTCTTTGCTTCCCCATATGATTCCATTTTTGATGCTTTATTCTGCTCAGCTTCTGTGTTTCTGCCCCGGGTTTCTGTAATAATAAAGTACATATCTGTTAGAGATGAGTTTGGAAAGCCTTCATGGAACAGAGGTGATTTTCGAAACATCCCTATGCTGTGAGAAAAGGCTGTTGCCAAATGGCCACCAAGGCAGTTTCCATCATCCTGCTCTTTAAAGAGAAATAAAGATTATTTAAAAATAGCTTACATTGTTCTCTACCAAAAGAAGAGAGGGAAATTCAGTCTGCAGACAGGAGGGTGAGAACATGGCCTCTGATTTAGGATTAAAGTTATGCAGCTGGTGTAGATCTCATTAGCTTGAGATGTTCATCCCCTCGTGGCTCTCCATGGTAGGAACTTGCACGTTCAAAGGAAACGGGGCTTAGATGGCTCGGCTACCAAGAGCAGCCAGATTCACAACTGCTCATAGCTTGCAGAGCTGTCCACATGTAGCTCCTTTTAATTCAACTGTAGCCTTGAACTTTGTCTGGAGTGA